TCTTAAATCAATTAGCCCTCAATTACGAGTTGTACAAAGTACAGTAAATTCCAAATTACTGCTCATTTGACTAAAAATTAAAAACTAATCGACCAGTACGTGAACATTTATAACATTCATATCTTTGAATAATCATGCTTTGACAAATATGCATAATAGACAAAAACTATGGGCCGGCAACGCGGACCGGGCCAGCTAGTCATTGATAAATAAAAGAAAGAGGACCGGTCCAAGGTGACTTCCTTGCGGAACACCCGATGGAACGTTAATCGTTTTGGACAAAACAAAACTAGTTGTGATCTATCTTTTAAGTAAGATGATATCCATTTGACTAAGTTTGTGTTGAAACCCATATAATTTAATTTATATATTAGGAGTTCATGGTTAACCCTATCAAAAGCTTTACTAAAATCAGTATAAATTGTATCAGTTTGTTTACGCTGAACAAATCCTTTTATTACTGTTGACGTAAATTGTATAAGATTTGTTGTAGTTGAAAGACCACTACGAAAACCATGCTGATATGGACTCAATATCGATTGAATTTTCTGTGAAATTACTGCAGTAATTAATTTTTCAAACAATTTTGGTATGGCACTTAATTTTGCAATTCCTCTATAATTTGACACATTAGTAAGACTACCAGACTTATGTAAAGGTATAATATAAGATTTTTTCCAGAAAGTAGGAAAGTGACCAAATTTCAGTGTTTCTGAACAATATTTAAGAATTATATTAGGTATGCCAATCGATTTAATCGATTTTAAACTACGCAGACTATTGTACACATCCTGACGTTGTAGAAAAGGCATACAAATTTGATCAGCCTGTGATAACTTATAAGGATACGAATCTTTAATTTGGCAAGATGTACTGGAATAGGTTGTGGCAAAAAAATCTGCGAAACATTCAGCAATATCTGTGCCTGTGACAAATTCTTTATTGTTATATTTCAATACTGAGGGCTTTGAGGAAACTTTTCGTTTTAGATTAACAAAATCATAAAAAGATTTAGGATTGGATTTAAAATTATTTTTAATCTTGTCTAGGTAAAGATTATACAATCTACGAGACTCTAAAGTATATTTAGATCTAGCAACAGAGTAATTAGTGTAGTCTATTGTTAAGCCTGATTTTTTATATTTACGAAAAAGCTTATTTTTAGAGTTTTTTTAAACTTAATAACTCAGAGGTTATCCATGGATATTTATTTGAATTTTTAACTCTAGTGGTTGGAACACATTCCAGTTTAAATCTATTTAAAATAGCATAAAATTTATCAATCACATATTCTAAATCTTTATGGCTGTTACACAGGCACACAGAAGCCCAATTTACGGAGGAAATGAGGGTATTAAATTTTCGAAAATTAGTTTTTTTGTAATTAAGGACAGTTTTAAATGAGTCGGACTGACTTTCTTCAATTACATAACTGTGAGTCATGGAGATATATAAAGTTGGATGGTATATATCTTCAGGAGTGCATATTGGAGGAATTTTGAATATATCAAAATGCTGTGTTATATTTACAAACGCCAAATCAAAAATTTTGCCGAGGGAATTTTTCACACTGTTTATTTGATAAAGATTTAAGTCACACAAACTATTTATAACATCAAATGTATACTGGGTACTGTTCATTTCGGATGGCAAAGGAATCAAAGCTTCAGAATCTGGCATTGGAAGCCACCTAATGGAGGGCATATTAAAATCACCAAGGATCAGAATGCGATCGGAATCTTTCATTTTTTCAGTGATTAAATTTATTGCTGATAAATGCTGATTATAAATGTCAAGTGAAGATGAAGGGGGAATATAAGAGCAAGTTACAAACAATTTAGATATGCCCAATTCAATGGAAACACCAACAAATTCTATATCAAGAAAATCATTTAGATCAATTAAATTAGTGGTATATTTGGTATCAACTGCAATAAGGACGCCACCGCCTTTTTTACAAACACGATCTTTTCTAAATAATTGATATTTTGAACATAAAATTTCACTATTTAATATAGATGTTTTTAACCAAGTTTCGGAGAAAACCAATACATTATAATTGAAACCAATGCTATCAGTATATAAACTGGTTAATTTTGTATTAAGCCCCCTTACATTCTGATAGCAAATAGAAAATGAGTCATTTAGTTTTTTGGCACCGAATCTGGTCTAAGAGGCAAATGAGCTAAATTATCGGATCTCTCCACAAATTCTTTAATAAATGCCCTAGCAGGCCAAAATTCTTTTAAAATCAACTGTACAAAAATATTTTCAGGCACAACGATATTTTTTAACGGTTGTGCATATTTATAGGTGACAATAGATTAAGTAAATAAATGTGATGTTAGCCTATTGGGCATGATGTTAAGAACTTTCGATAAAACATGATAGGAAAGTACTATTGTTGTGGGTTTTAATACATCAAATGGTTCGATGAAATTATGTGTAATCATGTGAAGACACACCAATTGCGTGCAAATTACCGGTAATATCAATAAAACTACCAACAAAATGGTAATATGGCAAAAAAATGATACTTCTTGCTATGATGGTTTATCCGAGTTTCCAAGTATCACGTTTAGTACTATAACCAATCTGAGATGCCATTTAAGTAACATTTAAGTATTTAAGCAGCACGTCTGTGAGATTATAGTGAAGATGTTTCTGTTTTTGGCTTTTTTTATTTAAGCGACTGTGGCATGTTGCGCGTATCTACTTTTGGCCACCAGCGGCGACAATGCAACACTTTATTTCTAATTTGGAATTCTCAAATGATCGACAGTTTTGGCAAAACTACATTTTTTATTTAATTGCCGGAAGGTCAACTATTCGCGACGTCAACAAGTTCAGATCGGACAATTCTGTGTTCTGTTTGAACTTGAAATCGTTGGTAGAAAACTATGTCATTGCTTTGTTATACCAACTATATTCGGAAAGTCATGTTGTGAATGTCTTGAAAAGAATTAATACCATATAGGGCGGCGTGGCAACTGATATGTAAAGAACTTATATTTGCCGGATGGAATAATAATCTCAATTAATCTATTAAAGTGGAAAGTATTTGCACGTTTGATTGTTTGTTTCTTTGTTTGTTTGTAATTTATGGACTTCAAAACCGTTAAACAGATTATCATGAAAAATTTCGAAATTCCTCTTAGGACGGGAGACATAGCATCAGAAGCGGAGGTACCTACATAAAATTTAGATTTTGTATGCACATATCTCTTGATCGGTTACAGAAATAAACTTTCCAAATTACATAGAACTCTGTTCAGATTTGGATATAGCTCCCATATACAGGGTGAGATGAAAAAACTGCAACCAACTTCTGACTGCTGTCATTTCTAAACTACTCGTCCGACAGCTGTTAAAATTATTCCAGTGACAGCTCATTATACTGTTTACAAGCGTACAAAAGCATTTTGGTGAGAATTTTCCAGAAAAAAAGTTATTCGTGATGTAATTCTTTATATTTGGCTGGAAAACCACAAGTGACTATCGTTAGAGCACTCCAGCCTTTAAATGTGAATAAATCTTTTGTGTCTCGTATCATCGCTCGTTACTGTGGTACTGGTAGCGTAGCCCGACGTCAAGGAAGTGGACGGAAGAAAACAGCAACATCAGCAGAAATGGTTCGAAAAGTAAAGAAGCGACTTGATCGAAACCCGCGTCGCAGTTGCCGGAAAATGGCTCGTGAACTGAACATATCGCAATATTCCATTCGGCATATATTGAAAAATGAACTCGGGGTAAGGCCATTGAAATTCCAAAAAGCGCATGAACGAAAAAAGGAAGTAGACTAGAAAGTAGACTCAAAAGAGCTAAAGAGTTAACCTCGCTTGGCCGAAAGTGGTGAATTGCCAAATTTGGTTTTCTCCGATGAGAAAACATTCGTTGTCCAGCAGTTTGTAAACAAACAAAGTGATCGTGTTTACTTGCCAAAGAGGTCAGCTTAAAATGTGCACCTTCGGTTGGCCACCAGAACTCAAGCGCCGGCCATGGTGATGGTGTGGTCCGCCATAACAGCCGATTGTCGCTCTCCGCTCGTATTAATCGACCGTGGCATCATAATAAATGCCGAATATTATCGCGAAAATATTCTGGAGGGTGTATTAAAGCCTCGGGCACGCAAACATTTTTGCCACAGATCTTGGACATTCCAACAGGTCTCAGAACCATCGCACTCAGCACGCGCCACCCAAGAATGGTTACAAAATGAGGTTCCTCGCTTCATTTCCTGCGCATGGCCACCAAAATCTCCGGATACCAATTCATTGGACTATTGTGTCTGGAGTATTTTGGAAAGCAAGGTTGGCACTAAAACCAATTTCGTATATTTGATGCACCAAACTCGCTATGTATCTCCAATTTCAATGACATTTGGAATATGTGACGGAAATTTGTCTAAAAATAAATTTGTCACATTATATTGAAATTGGTTCAGATTTGGATATGACCTTGCACTGGTATTAGGCTAACGGTGGAAAAACTGCAGAACAATTTAATTGTATTGCTATCTCGAATCCCCCTAATAGCAGCATAAATGCCGGTCACCTTTAAAAGAATGCAGTTTCCTGTACGTTTACCATTAGCTATGACACTTAATTTATCCCAGAGACAAACCCTTCGTGTATGCGTACTAAATTTGGCGTGTTTCTGATTTTCTCATGGTCAGCTTTACCTGGCATGTTTGTTCATGCATTGGTTGACCAAGGGATTTGTATGTATTTGAAGGTCCTCTTTACTATTTTTAACATGGACTACAAATGTGTTTTCGCTATTGATATTTTCTTGCAATGTTGCCGGAGCTAATGGCAACATACATTTCCTGCATTTTTACTATGGGATACATAAAATTTCTATTGATACAAAGGCAATTAGTCATGTAAAATTACCTAAAATCACAACGTGCGTGTTAGTATCAGTCACGCACAGTATTATATTAATTAAGTACTTGTTATAGTGCAGTAGCAGTTTGTCCACTAAAATTTCTCTCTCCATTCCATCGAGAAAACATTTGATCGTTTATTATTAGTAATTTATATTTTGCATATTATATATGCATACCATAGAAACTCTTATTAAATACATGGTCAATCTTTCATAATATTACCAAAAATATAAACAATATTGTTTTAAACTGTTAAAAAGTTTTAATGAATGCAATCTGTTTTTTGATTTGTTTACTGCTTATAGCAATTTCTCAATATCTTTGGCAATGTCCATGGGATCTGTTGTAGGAGCATAACGGTTAACTGGTATTCCCTCCTTGTTGACCAAAAACTTGGTAAAATTCCATTTGATTGCGCTGCCTAATGTTCCAGTTTGCTTGGCCTTCAAGTACTGATACAAAGGTGCGGCATTGGATCCATTTACATCAATCTATAAATGGAAGACATTAAAAAACATTGCATAACATTCTGTATATCAAACTTACCTTTTTAAATACATCACCAATGTCGGCTTTAGCATCGCGTAAATGGCAAACCATTGCCTCCCCATCGCTTTCAGGCATTTGAGAACCAAACTGATTGCATGGGAAATTAAGGATTTTTAGACCTTTATCGCCATATTTCTCTCGCAAATCTGTCAACTTCTTATAATTGTTCTTGGTCAAGCCACATTGTGACGCAATATTAACTATTAACACAACGTTGCCCTTGTACTTTTCCAAAGAGACATCTTCGCCATTGGTATCTTGAACTGTAAAATCGTATATGCTCTTTGCGTTCTTTGCTTCTTCGGACATGATTTCGGACTGAAATAGAACAATAAATACACGTTAACTCACTGTCAACTGTTATACTGAAAATGTACTGACGCTTTTAGTCATGCATTGACTACGAAACGAAATTAGAAAACAGTAAACGAATCGAAAGCATTAGAGGGGTTAAATTGTTGGCAGAGTTGGATATTTTTAATTGTAAAAATGTCGCCCTATGAATATTTTATAAATTCTGCTGTAACGTTTGTCAACTATACGGGTAATTGTACAGAATAATTACAACTGGTTAATGGAAAGACAAAAAAAATATTTCTGGAATTATATTACCTTAAAAGCGATTATCTTGTCGACTGCCTTATGCGAGTAGTAGTAAACATGACATTTGTAGCCATGGTTTACAATTTAAAAAGTGTGGGTGTGTGTGTTTTTTGTAACAAATGGTTTGCTTTGGAGGTCATTAGATTGAGTCGTTAATATTTTATACAAAGGATAATGCATGTCAGGATAATTTGAACAATTTTATAGATACTCGAGGAAATATATGTTGATATTAGAGATTTTAAAAATTCTTCAAAATGAATTGACACGCATGCTACAACCATCAAGTCCATTAGAGATACACAGAGAAATTGCTTGGTACATATCAAAACATTAAAATAGCATTTAATTTAAGTACTTTAATGAACCCTTAGATTCACCTGGACATTTCTATTAAAAATCTTGTAACACAAATCTCTTTACTCACATCGTGCTTTACCGAATGCATATTTGATGACGATGTACTGTGAGCGGCACAACCAACATCAATTATTGGTAAAAGGACTAAACAGAGTGTTCTACTATTAGTATTGGCTCGAGGGCTAAGATGTGTGTATTCACGGCTTTGCTGTTGAGAAAATTGACTTGGTCGCCTTTTTGTGCGGAACACACTCAGAGGTGACATTTTTATAATTGAGCGGTTGTTCAGAATTTTCGTGAGAAACATTGCAGCTGAAACGACAACAAAAAGTTATTTACTCATATACAGGCCCATATTTTGCTGCAAAGGCAAAACGTTAATAACTTTATCGGGTTTGGTTTATTATCTATGAATAGAATAGTGACTGAATTGAAACGATGAGACTGTTCAACGATGGCTATTCGAAATTTCTCAAAAATGTAGCGGTTGTTTAAAAAAACAATCGATATCGTGGAGAAATCGATATCTCTTTTAAATTGAAACCAAACTGAATGAACAATTGAAGTATTCTACATTTTGCAATTTGGGAAACATGAAATATAAGGCTATATTAACTAATGTGATGCCCTTAATAAAGCAACAATAGCAAGAAAGGAGACACTTTTGAAGAGCATTAGGGCAAAATCAATTTATACACGGGTAGATGAAAAGGACAACATTTTTGATAAATAATAAAATTCTGTTCATTTGTCATGAAAAAAGATTCCGTACCATCGCGGTTGGCGTTTTGTAAATTATAACTGTGTTCTTTCTATTATTCGCAATAATATGTTCACCTTGTCCTGCAGTACAATTTTGTATCAGAAAGTGTTTACCTACTATACATCAAGAAATTGTATGTCGCATCCAGCCAGCCGATGACTTAAGCCCGTCAAAAATGTCTGATACAATGTACATTTATTATCCTTTTTGTAAAGAAAATTATAAATCTAGGATTTTATTGTTCTCTTAAATTCGTCTATATGCATTAGAACTTTTTATACACGGAATAGGTTTCTACAACAGAGTCATTATATTTGTCCTTTAGGGTTATTCCCAAGTTTTTTTTTTTAATCTTGAAAATTGTATTCATAATAAAGTTTTTCTATCATTAACACTGCAACATTGAAGATTTCATGATGTTTATGCTTTATTACACCCATCGGTAAAAATCGCAAGTAGATAATGATTTTTCTACTGACAAATAATTTGTTGTGTCAATGATATTCGGTAATATTGTTATTTTTATTTAAAAATTAGCAAATAAATCACAAAAATCGAGCGTGCCGACTCTATGATACTCTACACCAATATGCATATTTAGTAGAGCCACCTTGAACAAATAAACGCTTATGTAAGGAATTTTGTGATTTTTCATTGCGAAATTGTATGAAAACTAGATTTTAATCTTAATCGATTTCCACTAAATTTGATGGAGGTAGTTTTATGTTGTGTTTCACTTTTCGTATCACTGCTATACAGTTCATGTTACGACTGGAGTGAACTTAAATTAAAATCGAGTATATATGGGAGCTATATCGGAACCGGAACAAAATTCTATCGTATTTGGGCCAATACCACATATAGGAGCTATATCTAAATTTGGACATTGTCAATAAGGTTCGTCCTTAGGCACAACAAATGAACGATGCAAATTTTCATCCCGATTGGGCAATAAAAGCAACCTGTACTTTGAATACAAAAATACATGGACAGACGGAAGGACGAGCATGCATAAATCGACTCAGAATTTGATTTTATGTACATCATCAAAAGGAACTATGGGTCTATCATGCTTCCTATTCCATGTTGCAAACAAACGCACAAAGATATAATACACTGCACTGTGAAAGTCCGGGGTCAAGACCCCGACTAGACTCGGATCCTATTACCCGATATAGACAATATAGCTATCGTTGGAAAGCTTATGATATACCTATGCAACAAGTGGTCACTTGATGGAGTAAGTGGTCACGGTTTCGGAAGTATAGTCAAATTAGCGATTTTTTGGACCCGGATTTTTTATAAAACTCTCAAAAAATCGAAAAAGGGCCCATTATACCAAATTCTTACCTTTCCAAAATCCTACAATTTGTGCTAACACCTTTTTTGGGTCCAGAGAAATTCTCTTTTCCGTTCTGCCGACTACGCGAACTAAAGTTTTTCTAAAATTAACAGTTGCTGTAACTAGACGGCCTTCGGCCGGCGCTTGAGATTTTCTCCTCTGGGTATGACCCACACCGGCTAATGCGAACCAAAGTTTTCTAAACTTGATACCTTTTGTAAGTAGCCGGTCTTTGGATGGGGCTTGAGATTTTCTCCTCTGAGTATTTCCCACACCGGCTAACGCGAAACAAAGTTGAGTTGAGGGGCTTGAGATTTTCTCCGCTGGGTATGTCCCACACCAGCTCACGCGAACCAAAGTTTTCTAATTTTGATGCTTTTGTAATTCCAACGACGTCTACGCGAAATAAACCTTTTTTATTGAAAACATAATTTTAATGAACTGGTTAGAATCGGGTTATGCGGATGGATAGACCCATATATCTCTGGATCGATAATTGGACTATAACAACCGTTACTAATTACCCCATCATGTGACAACTTGTTGGATAGGTATTTTCATAAGCTTTCCAACGATACCTATATCTATATCGGGTCCAGTCGGGTCTTAAACCCGGACCTTCGGGTCAAAAATCTGGCGTCCCGTCCCCCAAGAAAGAAATAATTTCACGAGATGAGGTAAAAATATCTACCACTGGAAAAAATTAAAGTTTTTACTAAACCAGAGTTAAGCCTTTAAAGAACATTTTATCACCCCCTATAAAAACTGCACTATTCGTAACTCCATATAAACGCTCGCAAACATCAAAGCTTTTGCTGGATTGTACTTAATTTAGTGGCAAATCTCAACGTTTTTACCCAAATCACGGTAAAGTATTTTTCTTGGAGGACTGGTAGGGGCGTACAAAAAAAAATAAAAATTACACTTATGTGGGGAGAAAGTCTGCTTGATCCTCCCACTTAATTTTAGGTTTACAGGTATCTCTATTATTTCCTAATGGTTTCACTCAAATTTTCTGCTTGCAACAATTACGAAATGTATTAGTAGTCTAAAAAGTAGCATATATGTATGGAATTTGGAAAAATAGAAAAAATATATTTACTTTTATATGATTATAATAAAAATAGTAGCCAACGCCGATAGCAATAGCTCCGAGAAAGAAGTGCAGCATATTTTTTGTGGTCATTGATCCGAGTATATTTGTGAACAGCGGTTTTTAATCTAGGAAATTAGAGCATTTTAACCATGAATCGTTACAAATCTTTCTCCAAAAACTGCAAATCATTCATGATGACTACAATGGGCAAAGTTCAATGTTTTGTTCGAACACTTTTTGACACTCTTTCTAAACTCCGCTGTATTATTTTTAATATATTGTTTTTGATATTTTATTTCCAGATATTGACATATGTTTTTATTTTAGCTTACTTTTAGTTTTTGAAGAATTTCACAATAACTTTACAGATGGATAACGTTTGTCGTACTTTATATATCGAGTGTTATGATTCCGGCAAATAAAAGAATGACCTTCCAACCCAATGCACCCAGATTAGGGCTCTAAAACTGAGAAACCGCATTGAAACAACGAAACCGAGTAACCGATCATTTAATCGATTTATAAACAAAAAAATATAATGTAAAGTACACACCATGGCAGAAGAATACATGCAGATGCATCAACGCTTGGGAGCATTGATATGTCAAAAAATTGTAAATGTTTTTTAAATATGACTAGATTTTTATATGTTTTCATATACGGCGTCATTCGGAGTTTATTATAATTCGTGCTTTTCAACAATTCTACAAATTTAAATAATTTTTCATTCAACATTTTCAATTCCAAAATTGGTTTGACAGTTCATTGTCTCAGCAGCTGTGTCGATGCGTCTACCTATATTCTTCTACCATGATACACACCCATTTTACAATAAAAAGGTAAGGTAAAGCTACAGGCTGATTACAATTTTTTTCTAAGTGTACTCGACTTCTGGCAATTTTGTGTATGCATTTATTGTTTTGAAAAATTAAAAAAAAATGTATATACAAAAAGCTCAAAACATGAATGAAGATTGTTAAATGAAAGATAAAATAAATGTTTGGAGGAAAAACGATAATTTCTTCTATTATTACGAATTACGAATCGTGCGATTTGAACGTGATTGAAATTGCAATGAGAACATAGCATTGCATAAATGCATTTTTCCAGAAATATGATCACAAAATGATTACTATAGGTCTGGTTACCCCAAAAAATTTTAAATTGTTCCAATTCATTCACTGAGAGTTATCAAATCGCGCTGGGCAAATTTCTCCTTGCAATCACTTGTAACTCTTCTTCTTCTCCTTCCGGTGATTTTGGACAAGCAATATGAAACATCTTTATTTTGCGTATCGTGAGACCAATTGTTTTGTTTTTCGATTCATTTTTGTGTTCTTAATTTGTAAATTGCTTTGTTTTGATAAATCAGCTGATTGCTTGCAAGTTTTTGCAGGAATTCCGTCTGTTTAATTTTCAAAGTTTTCTAGCGAAGAGAATAGAACTACCCATGGTAGAAAAATACAGGTAGATGCATCAACGCTTGGGTGCATTGATATGTTAAAAATTTTTAAATATATCTTCAAAAATAAGTATATTTGTATATGTTTTCCTACAGGACGCTAATCGGAGGTTGTTATAATATGCATTATTTAACAATATTTACAAATTTGAGTAATTTTTCATTCAACAACTTCGATTCCAAAATTGGTTTGACAGTTCATTGTCCCAGCAGCTGTGTCGAAGCGTCTACCTATATTCTTCTACCATGGAACTACCTTACTCTCTCAGAAATTAGTTGCTGGATAATTTCTGCAGGAAAAGTAACCAGATTATTTCTAATTATTTCTGCAGAAGGAGTCAGAAATGAAAATGGAAAACCAAATGGAAACCAGTCCATTTTATTGCCATATCATTAATATAAAATATGACAACATTAATTCAGTATACTATAAGATAAAAAGAAGACGGTCTGTTCATACAGTTCATATTTAAATGAATCTTGTAATAACGAAAAAAGATTTATTTGTCCGGCAATATCATGTTTTATCTAGCAAAAAGATTCAATCACCTGCCATACAGTTAATGCTAATGCAACTTGAGCTTTTGGACAACTAATAGAGTGCATTTCATTTAGCTGTATAATTCTAAGGCCGGTTATTACATATTTCCGATAGATAAAAAATGATGTTGTCGGACACATAAATTGTTTTTCATTATTAAAAGATTAATTTATGTATTAAATGTCCGATAAGCAAAATGTCAGACCATCTTCCCTTTATCTTTTAACCGAAAGTTTACAGAATTCATGTTGCCATATTTATATTGATAATATGGTAATAACAACAAAATTTGTTTAAATAAAAAAATGGATAAACCTAATCGTTTATTATTATTTTTTTCACGAAATTAATTACAAATTCGTTTTGTTTATTTTTAAACCGAAAAGGAAGATCCGATTAAGAAAAATCGGCGACTACCAGCTTTTTTTTATAAAAAAAATTGCCATATCATTTATTTTAACGTAAAGATGTATTAATGAAATCCTCATAATGTGTACTTTTTCTTTTACTTTTCCTAAAGTAAGGGATATGGGATTTATGTTGACTTAGTTCGATTTTGGCTCTAGGCTCCTTTGTAAATTTACGAAGAAGAAGAAGAAAGAAAAATTTACGAAGAAGACTTTAGCCGGTCAAAAAGGCGTTTTATATATTTTCACTAACGCTTGGTAACATTGATATGTCAAAATTTTCTAAAAATAGGTAGATTTTTATACTTTGTCTTATACGACACCAATCATAGGTTGTTATGATATGGACTTTCAACAATGTTTATACATTTGAATAATTTTTCATTGAAAATGTCCAATTCCAAAATTGGTTTGACTGTTAATTTCCCCAGCATCTGTGTCGAGGAGACTACCTGTATTCTTCTACCATGCATACGTATCTGCACAAACAGCTGTAGCTGTCTTGCTGTTGCTGTCAAAAACTACTACTTCAATTTACATCACTGGCAGACAGTGACAGAATTTTTTCGTGAATACAAAATTTTCCAATTTTCAATTTTACACAATATTATAAAAATATCATTCAATAGAAATATATTAAGACAACATTGCTTCGTGAATTTCTCCCTGAAATGTGGGAATAAGGACATTTCTCTAGCGCTGCTCGTCTGCAAAGAGTGGAGCAATACGACGACCAAGTGAATTTCAGACAATAAAAAAAGGATACTTGCTAAGCAGGGAAGTGTGAAAATTTTCAGGAGCAAAATGATGTTTTCATCGATAAACAACTCGTTCGAGCAGGACACCCATGACACAGACGGCAATTGCGATGGTCCCGATTTGGATTTTATATATGCTGACGTTGATACATACCAAAACGAGATCGCCGAGCTATATAGCTACACTGAATTCAGCGAATTTCAACAAAATGTTAAGGCATTCGAAGACCAAATGGACATGTACAATTTGCCACCTAATTGGCAAAAGCTAGACGCATCTAGTCAGAGGGGGATTATTATGAAGTTGATTGACCAGCTAGAGGTGTCCAATCGGCAATTTCGCATGCAGGCCGCCCGATGTATTCTGTATTTGGCTCAGGGGTGTTGGGCAGAAATCCAATCGGACGAGGAGCAGCAGCAGAACACACGCGACAATGTTATTGTGCTATATGAATTAGGTATATTTTCGTCGTTTCTAGATCTTTTGAACATGGAAATCGAAAGTGCCTGTTCGCCTGACATTGTGGCAGTAAAAATAACGAATGTCACTTTGGGTGATTCGGCGGACTTGAGAGTGATTTTATCTGTACTATACATTATAACCGAGACCATACGTGACGAAAAAGAGAAAGGTAGTGAGGATTACCGCAAAATCGCAGAAGCCTTTGTGCAAGAGATCAACAGTCCTTTGCCGGATGGAGAACTGTTGACCGTAAAATTATTGGGAATGATAACGCGATTCTGCAGTGGAGCTGCACCCCATTTCCCAATGAAAAAAGTTGTCCTTTTGTTGTGGAAAATATCACTATTGGGATTAGGCGGCATGGAAGTTCTCAAGAATCTCAAAAACGAGTACCGTGTAAAAGCCGGTCTGAGCCCAGTCACCGAAGATACATTGGAAGTAACGAAAACTATGCGTGCAAGTTCTCCGCCGGTCACAGCGGCCGATTATCTCGATAACCAAAATCTGAAAAGAAATGCTTTTCGTCGGTCGTTAATGAAACAGAGGTTTCTAGACGAACAGGAACAAATGGATATGGAACTCACGCCGGGGAATGAGAGTGCCCCGAATGGTGGTAACAATGGAACCGGAGGCGGCGGTAATGGTAGCGGACAAAATGGGGAAGATGAGTATTATCGACCGTTCGAAGACCCCTCCACTGGTGCTTCGTCGTCAACAATAACAACAGCGAACCCAAACAATCTGCCATGCTATAACGCACAGCCGCCAATTGTGCAACCCACACAGCTGACAACGTGTTTGCCTTGGACACCAAAAGTGCGACAAAAGGATATTGACCAATTCCTGGATATTTCACGGAATAAATTCATAGGTTATTCTCTGATTGACGATCACGAAAGCCTGGCCGGCCTACCTCAGCCCATTCATGAAGGTGTGCAAACTCTCAAACGGCACATGTACATTAGTTTGGCTGATATACAAATCAAGAAGGAGGAGGAGATTGCACGCAACCCAATATCAACACAGGAAGATGAAGTAGTATTAACACCAGCCGAGATCCTCTACCAGGCCATACTGCCCAATTTGCCACAGTACATGATCGCCTTATTGAAAGTGCTGTTGGCAGCATCGCCCACTTCCAAGTCAAAGACAGAAAGTATTAACATTATGGCTGATGTGCTTCCCAAAAAGATGCCACTGACCGCCACACAATCCACCAAACTGACTGTAGACATGGGTCGCCATAAGGAAATAATCGTCAAAGCAGTGTCCGCAATTATTTTACTGTACTTGAAACACTTCAAATTGAATCACATATATCAATTCGAATTCATGTCGCAACACTTGGTATTTGCCAACTGTATTCCCCTGGTTCTGAAATTCTTTAACCAAAACATTACCGAATATGTCAGCATGAAAAATACCATACCCCTCTTGGATTTCCCATCCTGCGTGATTGGGGAGCAACCTGACCTGTCGGCAGAGAGTTTTGTTTTTAGTGCAGATGTGACCGACAAGCCTTATTCCTGGCGAAATGTATTTTCCTGCATTAACTTGCTGCGCATCCTGAACAAACTTATCAAGTGGAAACATTCGCGAGTAATGATGCTGGTGGTCTTCAAGTCCGCACCCATACTCAAGAAGACCTTGAAGGTGCGCCACGCCATGATGCAATTGTATGTTTTGAAACTACTGAAAATGCAAACAAAATATTTGGGTCGTCAGTGGCGAAAATCAAATATGAAGACAATGAGTGCCATCTATTCCAAAGTTCGTCATCGTCTCAATGACGATTGGGCATTTGGTAATGACTTAGAATCTCGTCCATGGGACTTTCAAGCCGAGGAATGTACACTACGTGCCTGTGTTGATCGCTTCAATCTTAGGCGATATCCCGAAGCCACCCAGAAGTGTGGTTCTGGCGGTAACAACGGTAATGCCGGCAATAACGCAGAAAACTCGACATCTGGAAATATTGCGGGTGGAAATGTGGATGGAAATGTAGGTAGCAACGGTGCTGGCGGTATTTACGGTGCGACCAACTCTGGCAATGGTATTACTACAGGGGTTGGGGGACAATTGCAGGATTATGGGATCGAAGGTGGATTCCCAAGCGATGAAATATTGACACATTCAGATTTTGCTTTCTTCGGCCACTCTGGCTGGTGGGATCGAAAGGTGGAACTTACTGATTATTTCAAGGCCAACTATACAACATGGCTAGAAGAGGAAGTCTACAATAACCAGACCGACTGGGATGCTCTTTAAGGGCATGACACAGGTAATAGATTTGATAAAAATCTTTTTCTATAATTTTGTTTGTTTACCCTATGACACATTATACAGTTCAGTGTACAAAGTCTTTGTGCAGTCCGTCCCTTTGTCCATGTACTTTTTGAACATTTATTGCCGAATCAAAATTATCCAATTTGAACTGGTCATTTGTTTGACCCAAAAGTAAAACCATTTATAGGAGAACTGCAATTACTCATTACGATATTTTTCTGCTCTGATTTTTTATAAACAAAATATTTATAAATGACAATTAGATACTGTCAAAGGATAATTTTGAAAAAATTTTGACATACGATTGCACAAGGTTATCTTTATAATTCTACACTGAATACGAGCTTAAGTTACTTTTTCAGTAACATTTACTCGGTGAACTCTTTCTCGAGGTAAAATCACCTTTTAGTCATTATTTTCATCAAAATATTGCAAAAAGTATTGATCATATCATAATAAAGAAATATGTTTCTACAAGATTTCTTTATATTCTATTGAAAAAGCCACTTGTTTGAATTCACAAAGCTTGTACAATTCTTCCAGTAAAAATTTTGTAAGTTCTCAAAATAAATATTGGAATACTCTTTCAATACATTTTCATTCACAGACAGTAAACAGACAACATTCGGGCAACATTAGTATAAATTATTACAAAAATCAAGACCCACTTTGTACTAACAAATATGGTGTGTTTTAGTAAAACTATCATTAGAAAAATTCTCCACATGGCACTGAAATTAATATTAATATTTAAAATATTAGCTGGATTTTGTTCCACCTTTTTGTATACGTACAATTGTGTGTTTCATGGATGTACGTCAGGTGGTCCCCCGTAAAAGGGGCCCTTTTCTGAAACAAATTCTATTTTTTTTTTCTTTTTCGTACATTTATCCTACATTCTTAATGTACGCAGAAACAATTTTTAATACCTTCCACTATTTGGAAGGAAATAGCCTATGGCAAACTTGAAATATTAAGTATGAAATAATAGAAAAATATGGTTCAATTGAAAAAATACCGAATATTTGACCTATATGTCCCCTTTCCACACCAAAAATTCTACTGACCTAAAATAAATTTCAATGAAATTTTGTTTATCTTAACATGATTTGAAAGTTCTAAAAAAGCATCTTGTAATAAGAGATCAAAATAGTCGATGTCATAAATATAGTTTTCAAATAATGTAAAATTATCAATAAAAAGTTTTGACTTATTTAAACATGTATTTAATTGCAATTAATTCTAACTGATTATAAATATATATATTTTTTATTCATTTCAGATATGGATCGCATTGCATATTCTAGGATTCCCGCAAATAATTTTTACATTCGGTTACATTCAGAGCTACATCAGCAGTAACTGGTGCGACCATAGCAAATATGACATACAAATAGATTATAGCATACTATATATCATTAGATACTCTTTTTATAAATAATCAAGGGAAACTCCAATACATAGTTCACGTTCCGTTAACACTTCAAAAAGATAATATCCGTACACGAGTGGTGGAAATTCGAAACCTAAATACTTCAAATTTCTCATACGCAATATCATTGAAATGAATTCTTATGAATACGCGGTCACACACAACTTACATAAAAGCATATTTATGAGTCAACATTGTACAAATTAACATCTATCGCTAGCGACTAAGAATTCTTTATTTCGAGAGCATGCCGATGAAATTATTTACTTAGTCAAAGTTCCCAATGTGCGACAGTAGATTAAAATGAATGCTTTCCCCACAGATATGCAATAACAAAAAAAAAAAAGTAAAAATAAATCATTTATTATTATTTTTGTCTTAATTTGTTCAAATTCAACATTTATTTATTATGTTTATTATTAAATCGATAACATTTGCATGATTTTTTTAAAATTAAAACACAGTTTCAAAATCACTAACAGCAAAGTTTAAACGTCGCATGTATTATTCTGCATTAATTATACATTCATGCTTTGAACGGAAGAGCACTGCTATTTGACAGCGTCAGCAACACATTTATTTGCAGTTCCCATCGAATAGTAGCATTCGGTATTTAAGAACAACATCAACAAAACATGGACACATAAATACATTTAATGTAATGTTTAATGTAATACATATAAATGTTATAAAAATACATATATAATTTATTAAAACGTAATAAAACACAGATTTACAAGAAAACATCGATAGTTATTCGTGTTTCTTAAGTATTTTACGTTGGAAACCAAGAGAGACCATGTGTTCATCGTGCATACCCTCGAAGCGCAACAGATTGGGCAGCGCGCATTAGAAGGCGGGAAAATTGGGTAACATTTCTTAAATGCAAGGGCCTTTTTTAATGAATTGGTCGAGAGATCGGATTAGTAAAAGATTGAAAATCACGAATGAAATGTTCATAGCTGTGTTACTAAAAGTTACCAAATTGTTGTTGGGTCCAGCAAGATCTTGCAAGGCAGCTGCTGTTTCTATTTTCAAATTTGAAATTGGAATTGTTCCGGCAAATGAGTGGTAATATTTTATCGACTAGAACCGAAATTGTTAACGAAATGAATGCTTTTACTAGCTTTGCTTATTTCTCGCTAATTCTTATCGAAATTCGTTAGTTTTCCTTTTTCCATAGTACATTTATTTACAGATTTTTTCCTTTTCCCTATTTCGAACATTTTTGATGCCGAAACTACTGTGAAAAGTGTAAAGCCAACAAACATGTATAAGAAGTTGATAAAGGAATATATTATATGTTTTCCATATCAAAGGTAATGCTTTTCGAAAGGAAAAATCCTACGAGAATATTCGCGATTGCCCTGTTTCAGTGCATATGCATAGCAATATTAAATAGGTAATCTTATTTGCCAAATCGATAATGGCAAACCCTTTTTATCATTATACCCTACAACACTATGTGTTGGGGGTATTATAAGTTTGATTGGAGCAAAAATTATGTAACACTTCGAAACATTGGTTTTCCACATAGGGAAGTATATATGGATCTTCCTATCTCGCCGAGATAGCTATGTATGAATTTGTAATCACGCTACAGGTCGCAATTATGGCCCGATCCTCACGAAGGCGCATGGAGGTGGGGTTATGGTCAGAATAGAAGCCTATTGCTTTTGGAAATGATCACTTTATATTTAGGACTTGAAATGGACTATAAACTGAACAATATCCTGATTTTACAGTTGCTCTACAGGTCGCAATTATGGACCAATCGACGCAGAAGTTAGCATGGGGTAGAGCTTAGGGCTGGACAGAAGCCTTCCAATTTGGATGGTCATCGGGTAATATTTAGTGGGTGAAATAGACAATAACATTTGTGTTAAATAAAAGTCAAATTTTTCATTAAACCGGCTGGACAGATTTTGACAAATTTTGCCAATTCAGAATGCCCTCTTGGCATAAAAGAATAAAATCTAAAAATATCGCATTAAAAGATGCTCAGAAGGGCTAGGCCTATTATTTTTAAATATGTCCGCATATATCTAGGGGTGGACCAACAACCAAAAATGAGTTTAGGGCAATGAGTTTAGGACAGCGAGTAGAATGGACCACTACTTTTGGGTGAAAAAAGTAGCAACATTTCCATTTTACCTACATATGACAAACTTCTGACTTTTTTATGCTGGTTTTGTTGACGAATATAGCCAAATATTGTAGACAAGCAAATCATATAGATTAGTCGAAATTTGGAGATACAAAGGGGCTTCTTGCAAATGAACCAAAACCAGAAAAAATTTCCTGATCACACAATTGAAACCACTTGACACGGAATTTTGCAAGAGAGAAGTCTAGCATTTTGGATGACTATTGGATTATATTTAGCTGTAAAAAACAGCATGACGGAGTGCGTAAATATTGGGAAAATGTCCCTGGTCAAAAAACTAAGGGTAATAACTGGGCAGTGCTCTATCACATAATTTCAAAAGCGAAATCTTCCAAAATGGATTTGGATATAAGGGGACTTCTACCACATGTATTCTAGTGTTGTAGGGTATCACATGGTCGGCCCGCACGACTGTAGCCTTTGGTTACTTATTTTTAAATAATTTTAAAAATAATTCCGTAATGCGAGATGAGTGAAATGTTTTTCGTAAAAATAACAATTTAAAAAGCATTAAGTTCGGCCGGTACGAACTTTGAATACCCTCCACCATTTGGAACGAATTTGAAAATTTTCAAAAAATAAAATCCGCTAAAAATTATGGTAAAATCTTAAAAATACCGAATATAGCCTTTATATTGGGGACTATACGTGGACCTACATAGGTGTTGTTTGTTATAAGCCATTACCATATTCAAATTCCAAACTTGAAATAGACGGTGAATAATGAAGCTTACATCATCAAAATACCGTATATAGGGAGGTACCGTTATATCGGAGCTATACGAAGACCTGGACCTGCATAGACAATTTTCTGTCACAGGCTGTAGCATCCATTATGAACTTCAAATACGACATCTCAAACAATTTCGGTGAGTATTGTACCTAAAATCGTCAAAATACAGAATTTAGGGAGGTACTGATATATGGGGCCTATACAAAGACCTGGACCTACATAGACAATTTTCGGCTTAACTCTAGTTTAGTAAAAACTCTTCAATTTTTTCGAAAATTTTTTCAGTGGTAGGTATTTTAACCATGATCCAGGGAAACTATTTTTTTCTTGGGGGACGGACCCGGGACCCCAGATTTTTGACCCGAAAGTCCGGGATCAAGACCCCGACTAGACCCGGATCCACTTACCCGATATAGACAATATGGGTATCTTTGGAAAGCTTATGAAAATACCTATCCAACAAGTGGTCACATGATGGGGTAAGATGTTACGGTTCGGAAGTTATAGTCAAATTATCGATTTTTTGGACCCGGATTTTTTATAAAACCCCCAAAAAGTCAAAAAAAGGTCCATTATGGGGGACAACAAAATTGATGCCAAATTATAGCTGACACTTCTACCTTTCCAAAAAGGTTCAATTTGTGCTAATACCTTTACTGAGTCCAGAGATATGGGTCTTTCCATCCGCATAACAATAAAAAAGGTATATTTTGCGTAAGAATGAAATTCAAAAATCTTTGGTTCGCGTTAGCCGGTGTAGGACATACCCAAAGGAGAAAATCTCAAGCCCCGGCCGAAGGCCGGCTACTTACAAAAGGTATCCAATTTAGAAAACTTTGGTTCGCGTTAGCCGGTGTGGGACATACCCAGAGGAGAAAATCTCAAGCCCCGGCCGAAGGCCGGCTATTTACAAAAAGTGCCAAATTTAGAAAACTTTGGTTCGCGTTAGCCCGTGTGGGACATACCCAGAGGAGAAAATCTCAAGCCCCGGCCGAAGGCCGGCTATATACAAAAAGTGTCAAACTTAGAAAAATTTGGTTCGCGTTAGCCCGTGTGGGACATACCCAGAGGAGAAAATCTCAAGCCCCGGCCGAAGGCCGGCTATATACAAAAAGTGTCAAACTTAGAAAACTTTGGTTCGCGTTAGCCCGTGTGGGACATACCCAGAGGAGAAAATCTCAAGCCCCGGCCGAAGGCCGGCTATATACAAAAAGTGTCAAACTTAGAAAACTTTGGTTCGCGTTAGCCGGTTTAGGACATACCCAGAGGAGAAAATCTCAAGCCCCGGCCGAAGGCCGGCTACCTAAAAAAAGGTATCCAAATTAGGAAACTTTGGTTCGCGTTATCCGGTGTAGGACATACCAAGAGGAGAAAATCTCAAGCCCCGGCCGAAGGCCGGCTATTTACAAAAAGTGCCAAATTTAGAAAACTTTTGTTATTCCGACGACTGCTACGCGAAATAAACACTTTTTTTATTAAAAACATCATTTTAATGAACTGGTTAGAATCGGGTTATGCGGATGGAAAGACCCATATCTCTGGAACCGAAAAAGGTATTAGCACAAATTGTAGCATTTTGGAAAGGTAAGAATGTCAGCTATAATTTGGAAGCAATTTTGTTGACCCCCATAATGGGCCCTTTTTTGACTTTTTGGGGGTTTCATAAAAAATTCGGGTCCAAAAAATCGATAATTTGACTATAACTTCCGAACCATGAGAATTTACCCCTTCATGTGACCACTTGTTGGATAGGTATTTCCATAAGCTTTCAATCGATACCCATATTGTCTATATCGGGTAAGTGGATCCGGGTCCAGGCGGGGTCTTGATCCCGGACTTTCGGGTCAAAAATCTGGGGTCCCGGGTCCGTCCCCCAAGAAAAAAATAGTTTCCCGGGATCAGCGTAAAAATACCTACCTCTGGAAAAAATTTCGAAAAAATCTAAGAGTTTTTACTAAACTAGAGTTGTTCCCAATTTTCTGTCACAGACATCTGTCACAGTATCCATTTCGAACTTCAAATACTAAATTTGAAACAATCCCGGTGAATAATGTCGCTAAAATAATCAAAATGCCGAATATCGGGCCTGCCTACTGGCAAAATAAACATATGTTTCTATCTCAATTAGTTCGAAAGATAGCGTGATAACAACAGACGTTTCAAGAATATATATACTTTGTTAGGTCTGACATGAGTATTTGGAGGAGTTACAAACGCTACTTTATTACTGGTTACTTTTGGTTATTGGTTACCTAAAATTTGTAACAATTGTTACAAATTGTTACTGGAAGTCGTCTGTTAACCCAAAAGTTCTGTCGGAGAGAAAATTTTGACAGTTCTTTCAGTGAGAGTTTGCAAATTCTTGCTGGACAAATTTCTTCTTGCAATCACTTGCAACTCTTCTTCTTCACATTCATCGGCATTCAATCAGATGTTTTCTATTGTTTGTTTATTTCTTTTTGTGCTTTCAATTTGAAAATATTTTTTTTTGGAATGGGCAAGACTAATTGTTTTTTGAGATAAACAAAATGTGAAAAGCGTAAATATTAATATGTAATAAGAAAATAAAAGGCTATTTCCCACGTTTTTAGACAAACGCCATTAGTAAAAAATGTAAAGGGCTCCGGAGAACACATAAAATCTATCTTTCTTTTATTGCTCATATTTTTGTTTAATTGCTAATTTTCTTTTTATTTAAAAAACTTGTAAAATTGATGGTGCTTCCTTTCTTTTTATTCTTATAATAGGGGACAAATTGGTTTGTTTTGACAAATCAGCTGATTAGTTGCAAGCTTTTGCAGGAATTCCGTCTGTTTACTTTTCGCATTTTCCTTGCAAAAAAAAAAAAAAATAATAATAAAACTACCTTACTCTCTCAGAAAAATTTTGCTGGACAATTCCTGCAGGAAAAGTAACCAGACACACCTATGAATTACATTGTATAATTTTAACATGAATATATGCATAAGTTACAGCCAAAATAAATTTTCAATAATATAATCTTTCAAATAAATTTTCTTTAAGTCAACGCACATTTAAGAAACATCCGCAAAATTTAAAGACCGGTTCTTTTTTAAATATTGGAAAAGTTAACGTTAATATTACACGTTTTGGCGAAATTTCCCAGTTTTGACATGCAATTGAACAGTTTGATTAAAATTTTGAAGGAAAATCCATTTTGAAAATGAGGAAAAATATCAAATAAATGATTACTTGTTGCATTTAATTTTGAATGATTCTGTCAAAAATGGGGCATAACTTTAGGGCTGTGTTTCAATAGTTTTAGGAAAATGCTTTACCTTCTTACCTTACGATGGTAAACCCCATTATGAACTCCAAATATGGCTTAATACGACAAATTACCGAATGTCAGGAGGCACTGTTATTTGAAGTATACGAAAACGTTTTGCCATATTTTCCTTTGAACATCTTTTCCTTCAAGAAGCTACTGAGCAGTTCAGTTGACAGTTCATTGTCCCAGCAGTCGTGTCGATGCGTATACCTATATTCTTCTACCTTGGATGTTGCTTTCTTCACGATTATTTAGCGATTACTTGAAGTGTTAAGAGATTCGGACCTACAGCTAACAACTATACATTCAGGGGAATGGTACGACCATGGTACGAAAGCATTAAAATTAAATATTTTAAGAAATATTCTTCTGCATTTTCAATTGAGAATTCCAAATTCCAAAAAAGATATATTTTTAAAATAAAAAAATATTGAAAATTAATTGTTTTCTTTACATTTTTGGACATATAACTCAGACACTTGTATTACGTACAAAAATAAATTTTTATGTAGTTGTTGCTACGTTTGTTGTACAACAACACTTGCTGTTACCTGAATTATTCTACCATGAAGAAAATCCAATATTCCATTTATGTTTTGTGGGTTTTCCCCAATATAGGCACGTCTATGGTAGAAATACCAGGTAGCAACATAGGCGAAAATCACAACAAAGTAACTTTTTTGGAAACTTGATATGTCAAAGTTGTTATCAGGGCGAATTTATTTGAAGTATAAAATTTGGGGCAAATTGGTTTGCACCACGGTACCATGGTTTGCACCAATCAGAACTTTGGATTTTTGAAACATGATAAATTGCGTTTTTTCATTAAAATTGTAAACATTGTGCGTTGTTGTAAATTTTAATTTTTCCCTGGCTCCCTAAATGCCACAGAAGATTTCGTGAACTCGATGGACTCGCACTGCGCATAATATTTATCCAAAATCAATCTCTAAATCGGATATAAATGTGGGATTTAAATTGGATTAAAACTTCCCCAGGTATTAACGTTTTTTATATCTTGAGATCAAAATAATTGTCTATCCCTCTGTTGCAGACTAGTTATCAATTGTATTAATGTTGTGAATTTTGGTTTAGAATTTATGTTCACATTGGTGTAACTACATAAAGAATATTTCTAATTACGCTACGCTCCTTTGTTCCTCTACGAAGAAGCCAACCAAAAAGCGTTTTATGTATTCTCACCTTTATTGAGCCTTAGTCCAAATCTCACCTTTAAATAATGTTTTTCAATTGATTTATATTTATGGGAAACAGTTCTTCCATGTTTTAAGTTTTATTCATATTTTTTAGATTACAACTAGTAGTAGTACCATTCGAATACCCAACATACCAAAAATACAATACAGCTTGAGAACAATATTATAAAAATATAATTTTTCAACAATGCTTGAGGAACACTTATGTTCCACAAACATTTCTCAAGTCTGTCCCTTGTTGACAAATTAGTTTTAATTTTTTGTGAAAATTGTCAGCAAGAAATTATTTTCTTTGGCAAAAAACAAAATCACGCGAATTTAGGACCCATTTGTGGACCGAACCCTTAAGGTATGGATGAATAATAAATCCGGGAATCTTTCACATAAATTATTCCAATCCCATTTCAGATTGGAAGCATCAAAAAAGTTGCAGGAATTCAATAAATGTGTAGTCTTAGTGGAAGAGATGCAGAAGTTCAAATAAGGGAGAAGAAAGCGTCAGGGTATCAAGGCCACATGCGGCAGTGACTACTGGGATGTCCATCAAGAAAAAACGTTAAAAATGATTAAAAACTAAAAAAAATAATATTTTATACTATTACAAAAATAAGCTTATTATAATATTATTTTTGTAAGCATATTCTACAATTTCAAGTATAAGCTTATAAATAAGGGTTCCGTTTCGATTATTCTATACTTGTTATACAAACATTTTTCAATGTTTTCTCAAGATTTTCTCAAGCTTAAGGCTTATGTTCATAAGCTTATTGTAATATTATTCTCAAGCCATTTTGGTATGTTGGGTATTAATAGCATATACATACATATATAAAACCTATACATGTAAATTAAAAATAATAGTATTTTATACATATTTACATAAAATGTGCACCGGGCTTAACCACAAAAAATAGATGTGTATGATGAGACATTTTCAACCTTAATCTGTTGAAATAATTTGAAATAAAATATATCTCTACAAATAACTTTGGATAATCGACCCTATTGTCGATTATTGTACATGTAATGCGATTAAATGGATATCCTAGTGTTCACTGTTGCTCCATAGGACATGTTTGAAGACAGTTGTTTGTCATGTTACCATTGCTACAGCTCGGTATCCCAAGTAGTTTCTGGGGCGGGGGACATGCCACATCACAACGCTCTTCGAAGTAGTGTACGATACGTTTCAAGACGAATCGAAATATCTTGTCCTTAGAAATTTCGCCATTTAAAAATGTTATATCCTTGCGATCTCGAAATTCCATAAAATTCTTCTCATAATGTGGCCACACACACATTTCAAAGTAACCCACAACATCTGGAGGGTCGTAGGTGCGTTTGCGGCGGCGTTCGAAGCACTTTTCATACGGCAAATGAAAGTGAAACTTTATGTTACAAAGTGTTAGCAGCTCGGGCTGATTAAAAATCATAAAGCCTTCTATAATCAAGATGTTAATTTTGTTATCCCTCATTTGGGCCATCATTTGTGAGTTGATGCGCATTATGTGTGCCGTTGAATGATTCTGATTCGAATTGTTTGTTAAATTATGATGATGGGATGATGTGTTTTGGGCGAAATGCTGGTGATAGGCGTACTTGTTGGGAGCGGATTTCGATGAAATATTATGAATATTGTCATGGTGTGTCGTCTGATGTTGCTGACCAATGTAGTTGGTGTTGTACTGTTGCGTTTGCGGAGGGAAGTGATCCAACTTGCCACTGTAAAGGACCATATCATTATTGTAGTCCACATTCTCCATTGGATCCCCTGCCAAATAGCGTCCCTTCATTGTCCATGTTATGTCAGAGAGCATTTGTTTCATATCCAACGATGTAAGCAACTCAAAATTAATAGCATTCAGTGGTTCTACCCACTTGTGTCGCAAATCATCTACAGGAAGAAAATAATCATCCTGAGATATGAGTTGTACATCACTAACCGTGTATGGTGTGTTCCAAAGCGTTGCATTGCGGTAGCTTTGAAAATAATCTCGTAAATTGTGAGCTAAAGTTGTTTTGCCGCCACACGTAACGCCAGATATTCCTATTACCAGCCACTGTGGCATTTTGCAGTTCGGGAAAGGTTTGCCTCTTTAAATATTGCTGGTGATGCTTTTGCTTTGCTCCAGCTGCACTTGCAATCAGGACGCTTATACCGTTTTTGTTCGTATAAAATCCCAAATGTGATACAATGAGAATACAGCTATGCCACCCAAAAAGAGGACTCCAAATATAGCCGGTAGTATGAATGCGTATTCCAATGGGGGAAAGAACGAATGTATCAGATTGCCTGCAACCAAATAAATCACATCAATATTATTATTGTTATTTAAGATTATCACTGCGCTATCATTATTGCAGTAAATGCAAATATTTTCCTGTTTATGAGATGTTATTAAGTCTACAATAATCTTAGATGTCACGTTGTATTTTGTTCTAACAAGCTTTATAAATATGTATTTGCATGATTCTAAAGCACTGATAATGAAATGAATGCATGGAGGAGCGTATGAATACTTTATTGATAGGTGTTCGCGACGTCTTTTGGCAAACTAAATTTAGGACTAAACGGTTCAATAGAATATCTTTAAACTATTTCTCATCTAACCACGACTTGGACAAATGTAGAAATCTTTGCATTGTGGCCTAAGGCTAATTTTATTAAAGTTTATCTGCCGTATATTTCTAATATGGCACAAAAATGGGCATATTGGACCACTTAGCAAACTATATGGATTACCCAGGACTACGCCGGAAATGTATAAGTCAAGAAGTAGTCTATTCGTCCAAACTTTTTTGCCTACCTTAGCGTCTATATATCATTCTAAAACGCTTATCAGTGAACCAAAGTGGGGGCACTGGAGGAAAAACTAGAAATTTCATAATTTAGCTAGCGGAATACTGCCGTGTCACTGATACTGAACTCATAATCTTAATAAATATTATTTTCATTTCATTCATTTAAAATTAGCTTCTTGGCAACATTTTTGTTTTTGGACCGACGAATGTGTACTGGAAATAATTAAAATATGCAAAGGTTGGCGAACATTATTGATATGTTGATTCTATTGAATTCATGTCTTAGTTCCAACTTACCTTCGTCAATGAGCATAAACGGCAGAATTGATACCCAAAAGAAATAGTACAGAAATACGGATACAGCAATTACGAGTACAATTTCGCCAACCTTAGCATTGGAAGCCATATATACTGTGTCGGCATGGAGCAGCGTAACAACGAAATCGTCAGATGTGACTGGCAGCCAGCAATGAGCAAATCAAATCGATCCAAACAAATTAGGATGAGTGCGGCTGCTGTGTTTGCTGTTTATTGCCTTAAATTCATTTGTATTGTTCTCCACACATATGAGGTTACCGTCTCAATTGGTATTACTAACAAATATATTAGTGCTCCTCCGTCCTCTTCGCTCTCTCTTATTTGACAACAACACGAGAATACAGCATGCGATGAAATCTGACATTCAAATCAAATTGACGCAACAACAACTGCAAAGAGAAGTACAAAAATGGAACGATTAACTACTGGCGGCGGCAAAGGGCTAAGCGTGTATTGTATGTAAATATTTGAAATGCTATAACAGGTGGAGGCATCTGATATGGCAAGGCGTAGATATGTCCAAAGCATGCTGTCAGTCCAAAAGCACACTATTTCATGATTCATATGCAGTTATAATTGTAAATACGCACTTAACCAATGCCCCCTCCGCCGATCCGGTAAGTGTTACGTAAAGTCTAGAACACACAAATATTCAAATGTCAACAAAAATCACAACACAACCATAAGTCTTTGACAATGACGCCTCAGTTCGGCGGCAAACAATATTCAATTGTCCTCCATAAATAATTCCATAATTGTTTCTTACTTCATTTTTTCCATCTAATTATTTTTTTCCTTACTTTGAGGATTGTTTTGATCACAACCAACCGTTTGTTGCAGAACAGAGCGAATGCGTGGGAAACCAAAATGAAAGACGTCCCCAACGAAACGAATATGAAGCCCGAAAAGGAATACCCGATAAAAAATAAACAGAAAGCCAAATCCCGGGGTGCTTTGCTGTTTACGAATGAGCGTAACTCATAACGCCGAGTACCCTGTTGTTTACGAATGAGACATGAGGAATACACAATCAAACTGAACATATTCTTTAAATGAGCCGTGGGACTAGCTTATCCTATCGTGTTGTGAGTTGTGTTGTTCCGAAACGAATTAGTTTAATGGAACTGCTTAATGCTATGTTCTCCTTACACTTTCAATCAGGTTGTTCGCTCTCAGAATGAGGTTCACGAATTAACTCGTTTATACGGCATGCTTCGTAATTCATAGTAAAATAATTTCTTTTTTCAAAAATTTTGTTTGTTGATTTTAATGGAAATTTATACAAAAATACATGAAATTCTCACTAATATGAATAGAAGAAATTATTGTTTTTCTCCCGAAGAATAATTATATCACTAATTTTACAATTTTCATTCACGTTTTCAACTTTTGGTGTAAATGTTGACATTTTGAACATATTTTTGTATTTTAATAATTGTAAATTCTGCTGAAGAGGCACTTGTTAAACATTTTTTCTGCCGATACAAACATTTTGAAAATATTGCCTCTTTTGTTTGCAATTTTCTGTGGAAATTTCCACTCGTGGAAAAAATGCGTACCTTGAAAAAATGTTTGACAAGCGTCTCTCCAGCAGATTAATGATATAATAAATCTTTTGAAGAAAATCAATCAAAATATCGTAAGGTGGTACCGTTATATCGGAGCTATACGAAGACCTGGACTGCATAGAAAATTTTCTGTTACAGGCTGTAGAATCCGTTACGAACTTCAAATACGACACCTCAAACATTTTCGGTGAGTATTGTACCTAAAGTCGTCAAAATACCGAATATAGGGAGGTACTGATATATGGGGCCTATATGAAGACCTGGACCTGTATAGACAATTTTCTGTCACATACTGTAGTTCCCATTACGAACTGTAAATATGTAATTTGAAACTACTCCAGCGAATAATGACGATAAAATCGTCAAAATACCGAATATTGGGAGGTACCGTTATATGGGGGCTATACGTTTACGAACTTAAACTGCCTACTTCCAAAATAAACATGTGTGCAAGATTTTAGCCTTCTATCTCAATTCGTTCGATAGATAGCGTGATTACAACAGATAGACGGACAGACAGACAGACGGACATCGCTAAATCGACTTAGAATTTTACACTGATCAAGAATATATGTAATTTGTTGGGTCTGACATGAGTATTTCGAGGAGTAACAAACGGAATGACAAAGTTAATATACCCTCCATAGTATGGTGGAGGGTATAAAAGGCAAAAGAAAATAAGATGACAATCAGAAATTTAGTGGCAAATTTTCGCAGGAAAATAGTCCTTTTTGATTTCCACTGGTGAGAAGATTGGTTGTGTTGCTCCAGCCAACCGACAAGTTTTGTTTTTAAACATAACAAGTAAAAAAGCAGAAAGTTCGGCCGGGCCGAACTTTGAATACCCTCCACCATTTGAAACGAATTAGAAATATTTCAAAAAAAAAAAAATAATAATAATAATAATAAATAAATAAAATCCATTAAAAATTCAGTTAAAATCTTTAAAATACCTAACATCGGAAGCTGCCGATGTATGGGAGATATACGATATTGTGGACCTATATAGACAAATCTATGTCTGGGGGTAAAGTACTCAGAAGGGACTCCTTTCATACAATTCAATTAAAAAATGTGGCTGATGTGACCTATATAGACAATTCCTTTCAGGGGGTAAAGTACTCGCAAGGAACTTCTTGTGTGGATTTTCAGACAATTCCGTTAAAAAATGTGCCTAAAATCATCAAAATACCGAATAATGGGGGATACCGTAATAGGGGGGATATACGATATCGTGGACCTAAATAGACAATTCTCTTCCAAGGGTTAAAGTACTCACAAGGAACTCCTTGTGTGGATTTTCAGACAATTCCGTAGAAAAAAGTGGCTAAAATCATCAAAATACCGAATATCGGGGGGTACCGTTATATGGGGGCTATACGATATCGTGGACCTATATAAACAATTCTTTTTCAGGGGGTAAAGTACACAGAAGGGACTTCTTGTGTGGAATTTCAAACAATTCCATTAGAAAATGTGGCTAAAATAATCAAAATGCCGAATATCGGGGGTACCGTAATATGGGGGCTATACGATATCGTGGACCTATATAGCCCATCTTCGAACTTGACCTGTCTGCAGACAAAAGACAGATCTGTGCAAAATTTTAGCTTCATATCTTATTTCGTTTTGACTGTAGCGTGATTACAACAGACGGACGGACATGGCTAAATCGTCTTAGAATTTTACGCTGATCAAGAATATATATACTCTGTTGGGTCTAAAATGATTATTTCGATGAGTTACAAACGGAATGACGAACTTAATATACCCTCCATACTATGTATGGTGGAGGGTATAAAAAAAGTTTGAAGAAAGATTAAATATAGCTAATTAAACAACTAAACTTAAATTCTGCGGAGATAAACTGAAAAATTTAAATATTAAACAAACATTAAACGAACACAAAACTTGGAAACAATCTTAAAATTTACATCGGGAGCCACACCAACACCGTCCAATCCAAGGAGGGAGGCCCAGAATAGCGGCTTTGTCAGTCTGACAAGTCTCTGGTATAATTCCCATAGACTGTACCTTCCAACTTGTACTGTAGGACTGTAGTACTGTCAGTTAAATTACTGTTTAAGTTTAGTGTTTACTTACGACATTGGGTACAGGATTCCACTCAGGGTTGAGCTCAAGCCAGTGTAAAGGACCTTTTTTTTGTCCTAGTTCGCCAAAAATTTGTACGGTCCCGATCTGCATTGTTTGACCTTTTCTAAAAATAGTAGATCTCCACATAACAATTAAAAGTTTTTATGGAAGAATTCAATCATACACGCCATGATTGCAATTATAATTTAAAGTTCAAAGGACTAAATATGCCGAAGCATTTGTTTCTTTTAAATTCGGACTTGTATTGCCCATTTGGTGCAAAATAATTTGAAATCAGATAAAGATATATATGGGAGCTATATCCAAATCTGAACCGATCTCGATAAAATTTAGCAAAGGTATTTCTGAACTGCATTTGATATATTTCCCCAAATATTGTTGTTACAGAGTGCATATTACGGCTGCGGAGGACAAAAATAACAAATCGGATGAACAATATATATGGGAGCTATAGCTATATCTGAACCGATTTCGATCAAATTTGGCACACTTATTTTCAGGCCTAATTTGGTTGTATGTGCAAAATTCTATACTATTCGGGCTGATATTACACGTTTGGTGCACAATAAAAGGCAAATCGGACGAAGATATATATAGGAGCTATATCTAATTTTTTTACCGATTATCTCCAATTTCAATAGGGTTCGTCCTTGGGCCAAACAAATGTTGTTTGGAAAATTTCATCTCAATCGGATAATAAATGCGCACAAGAATACATGGACAGACAGACGGACGGACAGACTGACTGACATGCACAAATCAAGACAGAAAGTGATTCTATGCAAATCATCAAAAGGAACTATGGGTCTATCTCGTTTTCTTTTGCCTGTTACAAACAAATGCACAAAGACATAATACCCTGACCACCTTGTGGTGTAGGGTATAAAAAGAAACGTTATAAATGGTTTTGCAGTGTTTTCCGAATGTAATTACAATGCACAAACTTAAACACTTTACTTACACATTGGGAAGGGCCGCATCCAGATCAAGCCTAAATAATCTTTATCAGCCGTCAGATATTGCCTGAAAAGAAGTCATCTGACAAGAAAGAGGTTGCCTGAAAAGAAAGAGATTGCCTGAAAAGAAATTAGCTGAAAAGAAAGAGGTTGCCTGAAAACGAAGAAAGAAGAACAACATTTAATATATTATTGAAATCAAGAAATCCATTTTTTATTAACAATGTAGTTTGTTTTGATTTTTTTTAATATTTTGTTTTTGATGTTCATCTAATTTTCACTAAAATTCATTTTGTTAAACAAAAAACATCAATACATTTGTAGAATTGAAATTGAAAACAATGTACTCGGTAGGGAGTACCACGGTAAAGTGGTAGGGATGAGATAGATGGGTAAGTGAAGGGGTGAAATATGGGGCACCCTGTGAATGGAGGTGTCATGGCGAGAGGTAATCTCGGTGGGTGGGCAGTTTCCCTAGCAGGAGAACCGCTAGGGGAAAGCTGATTCGAATGTTAAAGGTGAGTTCGATATAAATGTTAGGGTATATAGCTTTACTTCTTGTTTGTTAGACATATTTCAGGTTCTTCACAACACAAATAAACCCCATTCAGTTGGTCTAAGACCGGTATGATTTTGTATCTTTTCTTTTGTCAACTGAAATGTCCCAGATTGGCAAGAACCACACCTCATCCGACGAGTCGTAGCCACGCAAAACGCCAGTATACCGGCAAAGCTAATCAAAGACACACATTTGCGGTTCTCCGTTTTCCCAATAAAACCCCGGCTGTTACCATTTTTTGTACTTTTAAGTAAAATTGAAGTTTTGCTTGCTTCAATTCTGAACCGGTAGGCCAATATTAATCAAATACTTTATGAAAACATTTAAACCAATTTATGCACAGTTTTTGTATCTGCATGTACTCTTAATGTAAGCTCTGACATGGTGACATAACATGTTTATACCCTACAACACAATGTGTTGGGGGTATTATAAGTTTGATTGGGCCAAAAATTATGTAACACCACGAAATATTGATTTCCCACATTGGAAAGTATATATGGATCTTCCTATCTCGTCGAGCTGAGTCGATCTAGCTATGTA